TCTGGATTTCACCGAGGAATAAATTACAAAATAATCGTCTGTACCATTACTAATAAATTGTACTCAAGCAATCTGTAGTGTGTACTTGATTTGCTGATGTGTATGTTGTATTTGCTTGTCTTTGAAATGATACAGAACTGTTTCTGTTTCATGTAGTGTATGTCACATTTTAGTAGTGTGTCGTTGATTTCTTGATGTGCATAGTACATTTGATACATTCCTTTACGTTTATGTTACATTTTTTTTCTTTAACTCGTCAACAATTATGTAGCTTGCTATATTTCCCAAGATTTGTTCTCGTGTTCTGCATAGACTAAGCAACAACAAAAGTCTACTCTAAAAGAATGAGCAAACAAGTGCCATGTTTGACAGAAGCTAACCTATCGAGCGAATGGTCGCTAGCTAGTTGAAGGGACCTACCCTCTCACTTAGGGTTTAACCTACTCTGGCGGCGATCCCGATGGCCAGCGAGAGCTTATTTTAAAAGTCTTCTAAGCCCACCCTCCTAGCGACATGCTCATCATAGCCTTGATCATCATCTTCCCCATGATCATACTGCACCTTAGCAACATCAAATTTATTACAAGGACCAGACTCATCACATGTACCGGTTTCCCTATTCTTACAGATGTAATATATCACTCAGTCTAAAACCAGCATGGGAAGGAAGAAACCACCGACCAGTTACCTCCGTTTTCCGTCGTCGTTACATTTTTAGCGGGTTAAAATCTTTGTCGTGTACGTACCACAACTCGGCAAACACAGCTTTGATGGCCCGGGGTCAGCCGAGTGGCATATGCTGAGTGTAACACTCGGCAAGTCACTAAAAGTCCAACCACCTATGCATGGTAAACAAAATCAAAGCACGAGTAGCTACAAGAAAAAAATAAAAGGATGAAGACCCAAGAGAATGAAGCTCGTTAAATGGAGGGATATATGGGCTATTTCACGATGGACCATGCACCACCCAATTTTTTGCTGTCTAGGGTTGGGAGAGAGGAAAAACGATTCGGGAGGATGGAGGAGAATGACATGAGCGAGAGTGCGAGAGCATGTTCACCAAGAGCTTCATCTCACAAGTGGCCATTTTTTTTTTTTTTTGAAAAAGAGGACTACCCCAGCCTGAGCAATGCATGCAGCCATTTTATTAATTATTCATAAAGACCTTACAAAATAGTACATCAGGTAGTTTGAAGCCATCATCTAAGCAACAATTGTTGCTACTCCTATCTACCTGATGAAGGAGTGCCGATAGTCCGAGCCTAATACCAACTAGACGTCGCACAAATGCCTAACATCTAGAGCCAGAGGCCCCAACCAAGTCACATACTAGGTTTGGGGCACAAGCTAATCCGACGGGCTCTCTGTGTCGTCGCCATCATCTTCCACCAATCCATCTTAGAAGCAGAAACTAATGCATCGACTTTGCCAAACCTCTTTGTCATCGACGCCACCATGACGCAGACAACATCCTCCTCCTGCGCGAGTCCATCTCCGCGCATCGGACGCCGAGTCTCCATAGCGCCATGCCGCCGAGATCCGCCGCCATCAATGTGTTGAAGCACCGCTCCAGCAAAGAAGCCGTCCTCTGGTCCCCCGAGCCTGTGTGTACCTCCAAGAATGAGCCCCCAAAGGGGAAACAACACCAGAGCGCCACCGTCATCCCATCTACTGGTCTAGGGTTTGCTCCAGAGGTAGCAGAGAGTGGCCTTGAACTTCTCCACGGCGATGCCTTCAAGAAGGGAACGACGCAAATAGCGCTGCCATCGCCGGCCTTGGCAGTAGCCGAAATCAAGTTTTCACCCAGATCTATTCGAAGAAATCCAACTCTAGTGCACAGGTCGCCGCCACCACCAGCACCACCAGGCCAAGCACACGCCGCGGCGGCACCTCCATGGTGCCCAGAGGCCGCGAGACTCATGTGTGGCTCTCGATCGATCTCTCTCCTCTCCGGGGTTCTCGTCGCTTGATTCCGCCATTCGGAAATTATGATCATATACAGGAAGCCTAGCGACCCGACCGTACAAGATATGTAAGTCAGAACGAGATCCTGGCAGTCAAAGAGTTGAATAAGCGCCCAACGCATGGCCAGACATGATGCCTCAAATAACTCTAATTTTGCCTTCCAGGTTGAAATGTTTTATCTTACAATTCTTACAAAAGGTATTTGTCTTACATTTATTATTTTCTTTAGCCTTTTCATCTGCTATGTAGCCGCTAGAAAACAGTTTGACAATAGCCATATTTTCTGGATAAAACATGTGGTAACAGTTATCCCACATCGTAATGCTCCCTCTCTAATGCTTGGTGCTTTCAGCCTCTTTAATTAATGTTACCAAAACTACAGAAACTGTATCTTTTCTTAGCTCCTAGATTGTTTACTGCCCCGCTGCAATCTCGTTAGATTTTGTGACTTATTTCTGAACTCCATGCCTAACACAATAAGACCATACTTCTTGCTCAAGCTTGTCTCCGTTAGACTTACGTATACCTCGTCGTCGTAGCCTTCCTCATTGTAGAACTCACCCAGCTCCACTTCCATCCAGCCGTCGGCCCTTTTCCGAGGGAGTACCATATCCTCTCCAAGAGTAATTACCCGTGGACACCGTACCACTCTATGTGCCCGGTCTGGTGATTCCAGGACATGTATCCGAGGTGACTCATCACCATCGCCTTCATCCTCCATGCAGCTTTGGAGGCAAACTGTCGAGGTTGATCCACACCCTCCAACGCTAATCGACGCCTCCTGGAATGGATAGTCCATCCCATAGAACGAAGTAGGTCCTAGCTTGAACACCATGTAAGCAGCGTACATTACGTTTCGCGAGAGCATCTTGCAGTGTATCTTGCTACGGATTTCTATCTTGCCACAGTTTCTGAACGTCGCGACATGCCGGAATCTAATGAAGATTTTTTATTAGACAAATATAATACATAATGTTCTTAAACATATGATATAATTATCAAGACAATTGTTAAGCACTAGACGGAATTTGCTACATGGAAATGGCTTTAACCTTTTGCCACTGTGGCATGCATTGCGATCAAAACCGAGAGGAGTCCAGTCCCATACGTAGCCTTGGTACTTGGTGATCTGCAGTGTCTCCGCCGAAAGCATGAAGCACTTGGCGCCGGTAGCCTTGTCCAGCCTCATGTGCTGCACCACAAGTACGTATAACATATGTTCGTTAAGGAAAGCATAGTTATATGAAAGTTCAAATATATATACGTGCATCGGAATGATGCATAGGCCGAGAGTTTCGACCCCTTTTTTTCAAAGAAAAACAAAAGGTTCAAAAAGCAGGATAATTGGGGTAAATAATACCATGAGCTTCCGTGGGAGAAAGGCGGGTAGGCAGGAGAGGCGCTTGAAGAGCGCCTTCTTGGATGCCGGCGCCGGGGAGATCTCCTTCTTGGCGAACCGCAGAAGCTCGCGTGGCACGAAGCAGGACCAGACGGTGTCCGTGTCGGCAGCCATGCGGAAGGCCCGGGAGACGGCGGCTGCGCTGTTGGCGTCGACCGGCGACGTGAGCGAGATCACGCGCACAAGGAGGTCCTCCGGCAGGCGGTCGATCTCGCAGGCCGCCGTGTCTATGGATGTGGATACTTCCCCGGCCGACAGCTACTTGTGCCTCGCTCGGTCAATTAGCCATGGCCGTGTCCATGGTATGCTTACAGCTTTGGGATGCTTCCAAGCTGGAATTTATGCTGTGGGGGAGACACATGCAGGTGACCGTGGTCATCGGGCTAGCCACCTCCCATGTTTAGATCGCCGTCAAGGGTTGTGGATCTGCTTTCACCCGCACTATGCCCATCGGGGTAGGTTGGGGTGTAGTGTCCTTGATTTGCTTGTGTCTGAGGCTCGGGCACAGGCCTGGGGGCTGCCAGGGGTAGGAAGGAACAACATTCCCGTATGTCCCTTCATTGTGTAGTTGTTGCATGTTTGGTGTGGGTAGGAGTTGGGGCCTTAGATGCAGGGGTCGTGGCCCCGGGTGGCGGTCCCTGTGGTTGGCTCTTCGGCGAGCCTCATGGTGGAGGTGGTGGCTATGTTCCTTGCTCGTGTGGGCTACGAGGGTTGTAGTGGTGGGAGGCTCAGGCTTGGAAGTCCTCTCCTTTGGCGTTGAAATTCCCAAATCTGGGTATGTATGTCTGCACGCGTCGTTGATGTCCATTGTGCCTTGTGGTGGTATGGATGAGCAATCGAGCTAAAGTTCTACACTTTGGCGCCTATGACGGCATCACCCACGTGTGATGCTCTCCTCTTCAGGGCATTGTTGTGGTTCTTCTCTTTGTGCCAGGGGCTCCGGCTGAAAACCCGTGTCCACCTCGGACTTGACTGTCGCGACACTTTGCACCGTTTTCCTTCCTGAGGGCCTTATCGTGGAGCTTGTGTGTCCTAGTGCGTATCTTGATGTTTCTGAGGCCCTCCTGTGCTATTTTTCAGCATTGTAGTCGTTTTTTGGTTTTCATCTTTGACGTTTTTCAATGTGATTTTCATTGTCTGGCTATCCAATGAATTAATTTGTGAGAGGACTTACTCCACTAATTTGTATCGGTCGGTCGTGTACTTGGATATGTATTGTATCTATAAAACGGGGCAAGAGCCTGTTTCGTATGGAAGAGAGAGAAAAAAGGTTCGTTGGACGAGAGCAATATATACCATATCAATACGTGAACCATTTCTAAATAATTTGTTCAATGATCAACAAAAGGATGAACTGCATAAATTTTGCAGGGGGCGACAACAACTCTACAGCCCCGGGCCCATGCATCAACACCTGTCCACATGCATGTGCCTCCCTTAATCCGGCCGGGACACATACAAATATGCTTATTGCATGCATGCATACGCTCGTGGTCTGCCCATGCATGCAACAACCTAGTAAAAGACGGACTTATGATCCGTTGATCATTTTCAGCATTAGTTCCTGCACTAATATATCCTTTGCTCTAGAATCCGCACGCAATTTTTCCCCGAAGCAAACCAATCGGTTAATTAATTAGTTCGTGTGCTTGGGCCTTATCTCGATGCCCTGCACGATGAGCCCTCTCTTCCACCGCCGGCACTCCACCTCCTTGAGGCTCACCTCGACCACCCCGTCCTCCTCGCCGGCCACGGCGAACTCGCCCAGCTCGACCTCCGTCCACCCGTCGTCCCCTCTTCGTCGCGGGCACCTGATGTCCATGTCGGCCTCCCTGACCAGCTTCCACCCGTAGTTCTTCCGTGGCCGCACGTACTCCTGCCTCCGCCGGTGCATCGCCGTCTCCTCCTCCCCCTGCATGTGCTGCAGGCAGATAGTGTTCTCCGTCGACGTGGACGTCGCGGTTGACGTCGGCTTGGTACTGTTCCCGGAGACGACGACGGTGACCGTGGCCTTGGGCGGCAGGATGCCGATGTTACACTCGAGGCCGTAGGAGTCGTCGGCGATGGCGTAGACGAGGTAGGCGGCGTAGGTGGTCCGTGGGGTGAGCAGGGAGAGCTGCAGCTTCCCGGTGATCTCTAGCCAGCACACGTCCACAAGCTCGGCCACCTCAGGAAACCTAGAAATACAGGAAGGGATCGGACATGATCAGATACGTGTACCAATCAATAATTCAATATTCATTAGCATGAACACGTAGGAACGAACATGCATGCAGGTAGGAGTACGTGCATGCATGCAAGCTGGTACGTGTCGACACGTGTGTAACAAGGCAGTGTCATAAGAGGATGCCGTGTCTGAACAGAACAAGAAGACAGGGCACGCGTCAGAGGCTCAGAGCACGTTATAAGGCGTGAAAAGAATTGTTCACTCTTAGGTTTTATTCGGTCAACAAAAACACACTTGCATGCGTGTGATAAACTATATAAGTGATTCCTTATTTTATTTGCCTGGTTGGTAGCGGCACCCGATCGACGCGGTACTTAGGAGCCAAGTAACTTTCGACTAACGTGGGCTCTTGCATCTATTCCCGTGGAATTTTATACTCTATCTTCTATGTTTTCAACGCATTTGTAGAAAGCGATAACCTCTGGTGTGTACTGTACATATTTTGTATATATGCCACGTACGTACATGAACACAAGTACGTACACAGCAAGAAGCAATGCAGCTATTTGCACGTTCGTACTTCGTACCGTGATCCGGGGAGGTCGGCAGTCCATGTCCAGCAGGAGGGGTCGTCGCCCCACACGATGCTCAGCGCCCTGGCCGACAGCATCCAGCATTTGGCGCCGCTCCGCCTGTCCAGCCCGAAGCTCTGCACGTGCGCCCCATGCCAATATGGATCGATCAGCAACTAGCTAGCAGCTTTACTAATCTGTCATCCACAATGCGAGCCGTTTAATTAATCAGTAAGTTACCATGGTGGCGCCGTCGAGGAGGACCGGGCGGCTGCAGAGCCGCGTGAAGAGCTCCTTGTTGGACATGGAGCACTCGCGGTGGTCACCGGCGTCGTCGGCGCGGGCGAGCACGTCGGCGTGGTCGCGCGGCAGGAAGCGGTCCCAGACGGCGTCGGAGTCGGCCGCGGCCCGGAACGCCGGGGACACGGCGGAGGAGCTGAGCGCGTCCCCCGGCGTAGTCATCGCGATCGCGTGCGCCACGCACTCCACCGGCAGCCGGTAGATCGCCGCCGCCGCCGCCGCACAGTCCATATACGCAAGTATGCAACCGCAAAGCTGGCCCACAGAAGCTTCCTCAGCTGACGTACGACGCGATAGAGCAGCACGTGGATTCGATGGATGGATTGGGAAATGGCGGCGCGCGGCGGGTGGCGTTATATAGTCGTGCCGGGGAGGGAGGGTGGAGAGAGAAGCTTAAGGGCTAAGGCTCACGGGAGCTCGGTCGGAGGTTAGCTTAGCTATGGTGGCTAGGGAGCTTTGCTGACTCGGATGTGGGTTTGTTAAAACTTAAAGGGGGGGTGGTGGTGTTCCAGCGGGAGATCCGGTGCGGTGTGCCCCGCACGTACTCCGTCGGGCCCCCCAAGGCTTTCTGGTCGACAGGCTGGTGACACGGCTTATCGCTACGCTAGCACGATCGATCTTGCACCCATGCATGCATGCAGCCACTATCAAACGTCACCCAACGCCACGCGCGCGCGGCGTAGTGCATACTCTCACCTGGAGACAGCTCTTTTGATTTGCGTGGAACTCGTAAAACCTTGAGAACTTCAGGAAGGAGTATTGTGGAGGCGGAAAAAAAATTGCGGGGAAATTTTCAATCTATTCATCATCAATTATGGCAGTACAACAAGCACCAGCAATAATATAAATTACATTCAGATTCGTAGACCACCTGGCGACGACTATAGGCACTAAGCGAGCCGAAGGGGCGTCGCCGTCATCACCCCTTCCTCGCTAGAGCCGGGCAAAACTTGTTGTACTAAGCAGGCGGAGAGTTGTCATGTTAAGACCCATAGGATCAGCGCTACCCCTGTCTTTGTTTATGCTTCGGATTAGAGCAAATGCCTCTAAATCGTCCACGCACACAAACTAGTCGACATTTTGTACAAATTTTACGCCATAACAGCAACCGCCATCATTGAAGATAAGCATAGATCGGAATGATCCAACCTGAAGACACACGAACATAAGATCGGATCCGAGCGGATCGACCAAAGACAACCATCGACTGAATCCCGTGAGATCCACCTAAAAGCACACCTCCACACACCCTCCGCTGATACTAGTCACGCCATCGGGACGGAGGCTAGGCAGGAAGAACTTTATTCCATCTTCAGAGAGCCGCCACCGCCTCGTCTTTCTGAGTAAGACACAAGCCCTAAACAGACACAAAAGACATCTGAAGACGAAGAAAGAGCCCTCCCGCCAGCAAGGACTGAGATCCACAACGCCTCCGTAGCCTAAGGCCACAGGGGACAAGGTACGCCCCCAGCAGGAGGCAAGAAACCCTAGTCTTCCTTGGCCTCGCGAGAGACACATGCGAACTTGCGGCCGGACCGAATTGATGTTAAAATATCGATTTGCATCCACAATTTGAACATCAATTTGCGTCCACATTTTGTCTCCGCGCGAAACACTACTCCCGCTTTCAGCAAAATGTAAGTCATGTCTTTTCTGGCTTTAGGTGGATCTTTTAAAAGCCTGACCAAACTTACAATAAGTTTGACAAGAAAGTAAAACAAATCAGACATTTTTTTTCTAGAGCCTTCACATCTCGTTGGTGTTGTTTGTGGATGATTCACGGCGTAGATCTCTGTCGTCCTTTTGGACTGTGAGACTAGGGTTTGTAGGATTTGTCGGCGTGGTGATGGTGGCGACTTCCCACACTTCGGAATCCTTCGACCACATCTCCGCTAAGCTGATGCATCCACTGGTGTGGGCATGAGGACTGGAGATTTATTGGTTATTGAGGGGTCAGGCTCTTGGACATGTTGCTCTTTCGGTTGCGACGGCTTCTTCATCGAGGCGATGGTCGGACAGGATCATGGCCTTGATGACTTCCCACCGCGATCAACAATATTAGGTTCGCTCTCGCGTTCGAGTGGAAGATCAGCCCACAGGAACTTCAGTGTAATTTCTTTATTTTACATGTTTGTGTGTACTACTGTGTACTACCCGCTATGTATATACTAGATGGATATTTCGCAAAAAAAAATGTACTTGCATTCTGGGATGGAAGTAGTAGTGATAATTTATGATGATAAAATAAAGGACTGTGCTAACCACCAGTCGACTGGTGGTTAGCAACAGATCGGCACGAGTCCGATCCACTTCTCCCGATAGTTAGCGATAGGTGCGCTATCTTCTCACGCTCGCTTTTCACTGATTTTTTTTCCTTCTCTCAAAAACCATAGTAAATCGCTGGTGGTTTTTTCTGGTTTTTCACTGCATAATATGAAAAGAAAATAAAGGTGCTTGAAAGGGGATTCGAACCCAAGTCTATGCAATAGCTGTTGAGCCTAATAACCAACTAAGCCACATGTTGTTATTGTCTATTGTAGATAAACAACGTTATTTAAACCTTTCTTATTTCTGTCATATCAGAAGAAAAAAAGTTTGGCTTGGTAACTTTGGCATGACCAGCGTGATAACTATGGTATGAGCAACATGATGACTATACCGTGATAAGGCTGGTAACTACAGTACGAGAAGGTTAAAGCATGGGGAAGTATGGTAATTTAACACAGAAATTACTGGTGAAAATGTTTCAAAAACTTCCCCCCTTGGATGAAAGATACCATTGTGTTTAAAACGTAAGATATTAGTTATCATGTCTGCGATGTATACATTATTATGTTTTTTACACAGAAATTACCGGGTGTATGTTTTTCAACAAAAAAATCTGGTCAAAAATTACAGTGGCGTTTCTATGGGAGTTATGAACTTTGTATGTCTCTATTACCATGCTATTTACATAGAAATTACCGGGTCCCCCCCCC